AAACCCTCAGCCAACATTATCCTTAATGGTGACAACTAAAAAATCTTCCCTCTAAGATCAGGAACAAGGCAAAGCTGTCCACTATCACCATTGTTATTCAATATAACATTGGAGGTCCTAGCAAGTGTAATCAGGCAAGAGAAAGATATAAAAGGCATCCAAATAGGAAATGAAGAAGTCAAACTGTCACTATTTGAGGATGACATGATTCTCTATATAGAAAACCCTAAAGACTCCACAAAAACACTATTAGAAACAATAAGTAAATACAATAAAGTCTCCAGATACAAAATCAACATTAAAAAATCCATAACATTCCTATATTCTAATAAGGAAGCATCAGAAAAAGAAGGGGAAAAAATAATTCCTTTCGAAATTGCAACAGAAAGAATAAAATACCTAGGAATAAATTTCACAAAACAAGTGAAGGACCTATATAATGAAAACTATAAGACTCTATTAAAAGAAATCAAAGAAGATATAAAGAAATGGGAAAATATTCTGTGTTCTTGGATTGGAAGAATCAACATAGTTGAAATGACCAATTACCTGAAGCATCATACAGATTTAATGCAATCCCCATCAAAATCTCATCAACATTTTTTAAAGAAATAGAACAAAAAATCATCAGATTTATATGGAAGCACAAAAGACCCTGAATTGCCAAAGCCATCCTGAGAAAAAAGAACGAGGCTGGAGGCATCACTCTGCCCTACTTCAAATTATACTACAAAGCGACAGTAATCAAAACGGCATGGTATTGGCAGCAAAACAGACCCACGAACCAGTGGAACAGAATCAAGAGTCCAGAAATAAACCCCTATTTATATGGGCAAATAATTTTTGACAAAGAAGCCAAAAATATACAGTGGAGAAAGGAAAGCCTCTTCAATAAATGGTGCTGGGAAAACTGGAGAGCCACCTGCAAAAGAATGAAACTAGACTGCTGTCTATCACCACATACCAAAATTAATTCAAAATACATTAAGGACTTAAATATAAGACCTGAAACAATAAAATGCATAGAAGAAAACATAGGAACTAAACTCAAGGACCTTGGACTTAAAAAGGATTTTATGAAGTTGACCTCAAAAGCAAGGGAAGTAAAAGCTAAAATAAATCAATAGGACTACATCAAACTAAAAGGCTTCTGCTCAGCAAAAGAAATCATCAACAAGGTAAAGAGAGAACCATCTGAATGGGAAAATATATTTGCAAGCAACACCTCAGATAAGGGCCTAATATCCAAAATATTAAAAAACTCATATAACTCAATAACAACAACAACAAAAAATGATCCAATCAAAAAATGGGCAGAGGATCTGAACAGACACTTCTCCCTAGAGGATGTAAAAAATGGCCAACAAATAAATGAAAAGATGCTCAACATCGCTAGCTATTAGGGAAATGCAAATCAAAACCACAATGAGATACCATCTCACACCTGTTAGAATAGCTATAATCAACAGGACAAGTAATAACAAATGTTGAAGAGGAGGCAGAGAAAAAAGAACCCTCATACACTGCTGGCGGGACTGCAAATTGGTAGAGCCACTATGGAGAACAGTATGGGGGTTCCTCAAAAAACTAAGAATTGATCTACCATATGATCCAGCAATCCCTCTACTGGGTATTTACCCCAAAGACTTGAAAATCCATATTAGAAAAGATATTTGTACACTGATGTTCGTAGCAGCATTATTCACAGTGGCCAGGACATGGAAGCAACTGAAGTATCCTAGATAGATGTTTGGCTAAAGAAGCTGTGGTACATATATACAATGGAATATTACTCAGCCATAAGAAGAGATGAAATACTGCCATCTGCAACAACATGGATGGACCTTGAGATAATCATGCTAAGCGAAATAAGCCAGACAGAAAAAGTTGAAAATCATATGATATCACTTACATGTGGGATATAAACCTAAAAACAACAAATGAGCAGGACAAACAGTGACTCATGGACATGGACTATAGGCTAGTGGTTACCAGAGGACTATAAACTAGTGGTTACTAGTGGGATGGGGGAGGAGGGAGGGAGGTAGACAGGGTAAAAGGGATCAAATATAGGGTTCTGGGAGAGGGCAAAGTGGGTAAAGAGTATCAAATATATGGTAGCTGAAGGAAACTGGGTGGTAAACACACGATAGATGTCAAATGATAATGTACACCTGAAAATTATATAATCGTATTAACCAATGTTACCTCAATAAACTTAATTAAAATTTTTAAAAAAAGAAATAAAGATTAGAGATTGTGCAGGAATTTTTTCTCTACTACTCTCTTGTATATTTTCTACAGATTTAAAGTATCCTTCCTTCTCTCTCCCACCCAGGTTGGTGCAAGGCCTGGACCACCACCATTTCAGGCCACCCATTGTTCTCTCCTCTCTGTCTTCTCTTTAACCAGGTACCATTTAAGAAATCGATATTAAATCCTCTAGAAGCTTTCAAACTTTTGACTGCAACCCAGAATAAGACATACATTTTACATCTGGAGCCAGCCAGCACACACCAGAAAAAGTCATACCTATAAAACCTACAGTTTTCTCAAAACATTTACCCTTACTACATGCACTAGATGATTGATCTCCATTCTACTCCACATTTTTTTTTTTTTTATGCTGGTGACCCAAGTTTTAGGTCACAACTCACAGTTTGAAATACTTAGTAGATAAGATACACTGGTACATCTCTCTCAGTAGCAATCTAAGGAAGTAGATAAGAGCTCTACCTTCAGGCTGCCTGGATTCAAACACCAGCTCTACCAGGAAGCTCTCAACCTTTCTGCCTCAGTTTCCTTGTCATGGGGATAAAAGAACAGTGTTACCTCAAAACTGAGCATTAACCAAGATCGTCCACACAAAGTACTTAGAGTATAAAAATTATCAATTGATGGCTATTAATAATTCTTAAATGGTCTGTGGACTTTTTATTGTGGTAAAATATACCTGAAATTCAACATTTTAATTATTTTAAAGTGTACAATTCAGTGGTGCTTACATTTTACATCTGGAGCCAGCCAGCACACAATATTCTGCAACCATCTCTCTAGTCCCAGAAAATTTTTATCACCTCAAAATGAAACTCCACACCCATTCCAACCTCCTTCCCAGTCCCTGACAATCCCTCATCTGCTTTCTGTCTCTTGGTCCACAGATTTTTTAAACAATAAGGTAACATTTGACTAGAAGAGTCTTCTAAGGTAGAATAGAATGTTCCCTGGAGTCACTGGTCCTATGGCTCACGAAACAAACTCCTGCCAACCATTTCTTAGGTAAACCTTGTGAGCCACTAAGGGTAATTCTGTGACCTGTCTTGGGGTCAGAAATTCATCTCTCCTGTGAATTCTGTCACATCAAGATTTCCAAAGCCTGACAGGTATGGTGAAGAGACAGCTTTCAATGTCCACAAGAGGCAGAAAAAGCAAGCCTCATCTTTGAAGATGTTTCTTCATTATGTCGTTGAAAATCATCAAATGATTGAATATTCGCCAAATGAATGTTTATTCTTCAGTCTTTGCATTTTGAAATTCCGCTTTTGAAGCTCTAAACTTTTACCATCAACACATAAAAAAGTGAACTTGGACACATTTCTTAGCTTTAGGATGTAGTATCATTTCCTTTTTGGGTCCCACCCGTCTTATACTATGATTTCCCGCCCTTCCTTTGATTTCCCAATCAAAAGAAGTGGAAGACTGGACAAAAATAACTTTGTTCTTCCCAGGTCTTACTCAGTGTGTGGAAGACTGTACAAACATAACTTCGTTCTTCCCAGGACTTACTCAGGAGTTACTCAATCAGGGAAATAACAGAGGCACCGAGGCTACCTTGCAAAGCAACACTATCATTCTTTGAAAATTTGTTAAGACTTCTTAGGCCAAAGAAATAAGGCACAGAAGATGTGAACTGGAGAACATCCTTGACACCGGCTACAGAAGTCTTTCTTTCTCTTTTCTTCTTTCTCTCTCTCTCCTTCCTTCTTCTTGCTTTCTCTCTGTTTTTTAATTGAAGACTAACAGCGCTCACCCAGAAAAGAGTGAGTCCTCATTTTCCACTCCCTCTTCACTCACCCACCCTATGTCCCCCAGTCCTGAGTGAAAGCCTGACCCTGGGTGATGTCACTGGGCCAACCTGGCTTATTTGGAGTGTGTGTCCGGAAGTGGGGCGGGGGTGGTGGGAGGAGGGGCGGGGAGAGTGAATAGAGAGTGGCAGGGAATTGAGGAAATAGACTCCAGTCCGAGTCCAGGGAGGCACTTTATTGCTTGGGGTTTTGGAGGGGGTGAAGGTGGAGGCTTTAGGTAGCAAACTAGCCCAAGAAACCTAATACCTCAAATTGCGGGGAAGCCCGTTCCCAGAAATGTACCGAATGCTGGAAAAGTCCCTAGCTAGAGTTAACTTGATGCGGGCAAAAGAGAATTACAACTTTTTGAAGACACAGGTGTCCTGGCAAGTCAGTGACAGTACAAGTCCCCGAGTTTGCAGTAAGGATCACCCAGAGCGCTCCAAGCACAGGAAGCCAAGGCTTCACCCCAGGCCTGTCAAAAATGAGAACGTCAAGAGAAGGGATGACCTAGGAAGCTGTCACTTCACAAGAGCTCAAGTGATCTTTATCGTGGGTCCAGAACGTGCCTGAAGCATCCTGCCCTGGGCTGCTCAGTGACCGCGGTCTCGCCAACCAGGCTGGGAGGGCTACACGAAGGGAGCAGGGAGGTCTCCGCAAGGGCGGCTGCAGCGGGTCCCCGAGGGGAGAGGCCACTGCCTCTCCAGGCGCCTGAAATGTGTCCCAGGCAGGGGCGTCACCTTCGCGGGCAGTCGAGCCAGCGCCAAGGGCGGAGATCAGAAGGTGAGAGCACTCGGCTCTCTCTGCCAAGAGTGAGGCAACTCCGGAAAGTTCCCAGGGCCCGCGCGCGCTTCCCTCAACCATCCCCGACGTCCCGCGCCCCAGAGCATCCCGCGCCCGCGCGCGCGCGCGCGCGCGACAGGCGGGCGCACTGACCTGAGATGGTCTCCTGGTAGCCCTTGGTAAAGAACTGCATGGCCGTGGCCGCCCTCCACGGCGTCTTGAGCAGCCCCTGCCGCTGGGGATCCTCGCCCAGAGAGCGCAAGATAGACGAGTAGGCGGCCGCCAGGTTGGGGAGGTTCAGCTCGTTATCCTCCTCGCTCCGGGGCCGCTCGCCCTTCCAGCCGTCCGCCGGCTGGGCGCTCTTGGTCTCCGGCCGCGGGGGCTTCTCTGCGGGGCGGCTCGGCCCCGGTCGCGGGGGCTCCCCGTCAAGGAACCCATTGCTGCACTTGGGGTCCCGCGGCTTCGCCAGCGCTCGCACCGGACCCTTCTCCATGGACCCGCCGCTGCCCCTCGGGAGGCTCCCTGGGACGCTTCGGGGGCTGCGACTAAACTTCGCCAGTGGCCGTAGGCAATCGGTGGGGGCCAGAGTCACCTGAGGAAGGTAGGCGATCGGCCTGTGACACTGAAAGGAACAACCAGGGGCTCATTTTTATGGGCCAGAGGCTCGGCCGGCGCTGCGGGGCGTCCTCATTGGTGGAAGCCGCTTCGCGTCACGGCGCCGGCCCCGTCCCTTCGCTCTGTC